GGATGGCCTGGTGAAACTGCTGCAGACATTTCAGGGTGTTCACGTGGATGACGAAGAACCCCAAAAAGCTGACAGTGGAAATCAAAACAGTGACAAAGAAAATCACACAAAATTTCAGAGAAAGGAAAAAGGTGACGACTGGGATTCCTTCCAAGTTACTGTGGTCGAAGACCTCCAGCTGGGCAGCTGTGCCCCCCGACCCCCGGCTCAGGTCACTCGGCAGGGGCAGCAGGGGTGTCAGGCCTCACCCACCTGCAAACCATCAGAGAGCACCGAGGTCGCCCCATCCCCAGAGCTGCCTGCGACGGGCAAGGGACAGCAATGCACGGAGGTGAGCAGAGCGGCGGGCCAGGGGTGTAGGGGACAGAGGGGAGCAGGGAGCACCTGCTGAGACTCAGGCTGGACCGTGGGTGGACAAGACTTGCAGGAGGCAAAGGATGCAGCAAGCAAAGGACTCAGATGAGAGGCGGGGAAATGCCAAGGGGCACCGGGGAGAGGGGCAGAGACCAAGAGCAGTGCCTGTCCTGATGCTGCGGGTGTGTGTGTGTGTGTGCGCGCGTGTGGTTTCAGTATTTCCAAGAACTGAGCTGCACTGAAGTTGGGCTCTTTCTGGTAAAAGGATGTGAATTCCAGAGGGAGTAGACACGACTCCGGGGCTGCTGACATCCTGTGTCTCTAACTCACTCTCCTCCTCTCTGCAGGCGGCAGGCCAGGCGAGCGGGAGCCACAAGTCAGGCTGCACAGAGCCCTGGGCCTCCTCAGCGAGGCCAGGGGCCAGCTCGCCTGAGCCACCCAGCATGGCCTATCTGCCCGCGGGGCAGGCCTTGCGCTGGCTGTGGAGGAGAGTCCTCCGCTCGCCACGCAGAGGACAGGGCCCCCGGCGGGCCACCGCGAGCCAGCTTCAGCAGCCACCAATGCCCAGACGACCTCTCAGAGGCAGAAGGATCCAGCCGGAGGGACCCCTCAGACAGTCAGGACAGCCCCATGTCTTCACGTTCTCACTCTACCAGCTGCACCAGCTTCCAAAATACGAAGAAGAGTTCTAGATTTCTCCATAAAGCAAGTGTTCTTGCG